TTTAGTCGTTTCTTGAAGATGGTTAAGGACTCAGCTGCTCGGATTGATTTGGGCAGGTCATTCCACCAGGAGGGAACAGTTAATGAAAAAGTTTGTGAAAGTGATTTTGTGCCTCTTTGAGATGGCACAATAATACGCCGTTCACTAGCAGAATGTAAGCTTCTAGAGGGCACATAACTCTGAAGTAATGAATTTAGGTAAATGGGTGCAGAGCCAATGGTGGTTTTGTAGGCAAACATTAATGCCTTGAATTTAATGCGAGCAGCTACTGGTAGCCAGTGCAAATTGATGAACAGAGGTGTGACGTGTTCTTTTCGGCTCATTAAAGATTAATCTTGCAGCTGCATTTTGGATTAACACACCTGCCAGGAAGTTTCTAGTATGCCTAGGAAGACCTTAATTAGCTGCTTCAGGTGTGTTTAATTAGGGTTGGAGCTAAACTCTGCAGGACGCCGGCCCTCCAGGACCGAGTTTGGGCACCCCACATCTCTCTATGTGTTTTGCTTCAAGAGAGCAACCATACATTTGTGTTTCACTTTCTTTCTTTTATATTCATTTATTCTTCATTCGTTCATTCATTCAGTTATAATCATTTATCATTTAATCATTTTATTATTAAATTTAATCATATAATCATTTATAATAATTATTATAGCCATTTATATACTCATTTCATTGATTAATGAATTAATTAGTCATTTAAAATATAGTGTTTTTTAATATTATTTTTCCATTGTTGTTTAGTCTTATATATGTGGTTTCAAGGGCTGTTTGTCTTCATGAATAAGCGATAAGAGGGAATGTTTATGGAAATTCACGGTTTATGGGATATTGTTGTGAAGCAAATGGTATAACACTACTTGTTGGATTTGTGTTCGTCAGACGAAGTCTGAGCATATTCAATAAACTCTGCTCTTTTTTTTATCATCATTAGCCTACTTTGTGTCCTGCTTCTGCTCTTCACTGGCTTTTCTCAGTCAACTTTTTGCGCTTTGCTTGGCCATTTGTTGTGATAAACTGGAAAGTGTGTCCAGCTGAATTCAATTTGAGTTTTGTTAAACGAATAAAAAAAGAAGCTTATTTTACCTCGGAAGCGGTCGCGGCTGCAGTCGTGTGAAGACCGAAGAGTGTAAAGACCATCGACTCTACCGTGCGACTCCACCGGGCAGGACACCGGCAAAGGATAAGTATCGCTTTTTATTTCTCCTCTTTCCTACTACTTGTTTCACTTCTGTTTCAGTTTTTTTATAACCATTTCTTACTATGTGTCAGTAAGTTGTTGTTATTTTAGCATGTGTGTTTGCCTCAGTGTTATTTTTTAGGATTACTGATGAACTAATGTACTTTGATTTGTATTAGTTATCTATTTTAGTTTTAGTTACAGTTGTAGTAATGTAAAGCGTCTGCTAAATGACTAAAAGTAAAAGTAAAGTAAAAGTAACTTCTTGGCAGATAGAACTGTTAATAGAATTTTAGGTACCAGACAAAATTTTCTGTTGACAGGTTTTGGGTATTAGACCACTTTGCTGACTATGTTCTGTTACCATGCAGACAAAACAGATATTTTCTGACAGGATCTGAAGTCCGGGGCTGGATCTGATATTTCTGGCATGGAGGCATGATCTAACAATACCACAAACTGTATGTGAAATCTAATACAAAATTGCATAAAATTACATATAAGTAAAAAGTAACATACAAAAGACAAATGTATCACGCAGCTTTGATTGTTTCATTAGACGTGTGTTCTAGACAAGGAACTATATGCTGCAGGTATATTGTCATGTGTAAATGTACATCAAACCAGTTATTTCAAAATAAATAGTTGTGAGCATGGTTTGTTGTTGATGTTTATCTAAAAAGAAAGAAATAAAATCACATGGGAACATGGCAGGATATAGGCTGGATTTTTCTAATAGGCTGCATTTTTCTAGGCAAGACTATTACTGGAAGCGGTTATTTGTAATGCTGTTATCAGATTTGAAAAACGTTTTCCATAGAACACTAAATGGGGTTTTAATAGTCAAGTCAAGTTTCTATACTACTTTATAAAATACAGATTGCTTCAAAGCAGCTTTACAGTAATAAACCTTTAAACTATAATTACACCTTAAATGTCAATTATAAAGCATTGTTCATAGTCTTCCTCTCAAGAGATTGCTTCACGAACTGCAATGTTTTTGGTTTTATGTCAGTGTTTTATGATACATTATATACAGTATTATATTTGTTTTAACTGTATAAATTTGCAGTTTAAATAATATTCATGAAAAATGTAATGGAATTAAAACAATTATAAATCATTATTCAGCAAAAAAAGAATAGAATGTGCGGTAGAGTTAGTAGTGTGATCGTTTCAGTAGCCTATTGGGTCACGTTTTATAAGATAATTTGAATTTGCGGTTTTACTTTTTAATACTTAAGTATTTTCAAAACCAGATACTTTGTACATAAAAGTAGTATTTTATTGGACAGCTTTATTTTATCTTAAGCAATATATTGGTGTGGCATGGAATTTGTGTAACGTTACTTGTCCACCACTGAATCGGAATACTATTCACTGGCTGTAACCAGTAACCACGTCTCCATGGAAACGTTAACAACAAAACACAGGCGCGCTGTAGTGTGTCGGGTTTATTGCAAGTAGCTGCTTTGGTCTTTTTATGTGTTTTTTTTAAACACATTTTAAATTAGAAATACGCGCGTGGCAATAAGTTTTCACTTTGTCGTGACTGTTTGTATACCTGTTAAAACGTCTGTCTTATCTGCTTTTTTCACTAAAGCTCAAACGAAATGGTAAGTGCTTTTTAAAAATGAAACACTAAATTATGGTCAGAAACTATGAACTAACAGTTATTCGCTTTGCAATTTACATTGGGGTTCAGGCTTCAGAATTTTTGAAGTAGCCTACTGAAACCTTGCAACGCTATCTTACATAGGCTATTTTACGAGGTGGCGAATTCGTACGACCTCACTATTTTATGCGTGTGTGTGTGTGTGTGCGTGTTAAAGGTTCATGAGACTTAAATCATACAGCTACTCACTAGTTGTTCATGACATTTGTTCCTCAAAGATAATAAAGGAATCATTAAATTGATTAAGATTCAAATGCCTCATTCTTTTCAGCCTCAAAGCGCCACATCCTCCTGTGGAAAGCAGTCGGGCAGCAGCGCTTTCACTCGACGCTATCGCACACGAGCCCTCACCTCTCATGTGGACGAGACCCTCTTTGGGACACTAAAACAGGTAGAAATAAGCTTACTGCGCAATCGTAGACATTGAATGAAAATAAAAGGAAGACTCAACTGTCTTTTGTCTCAGCATTCTGCTGGTGATATGAAAGACGATCCTGAAGGCGGAAGCGTGAGATCGAGGACACTGTCACGCTCTGCTCCAGCACCCAAAGAGCCAAAGTCAGAAACGGTGCGCATCATCACTAAAGACCTCATCAGGGACCTCAGGCAAGTAGACGCAAAGAGTTTTTGCTCTGTAGTTACATGTAGTTATCCTTATTGAGGTATTTGCATTACCTGATCAAAATTAGAAATTGGGAGTCGACTCCAAAAGAGTCGATTCCTCGACTCTGAGTAGCTGTAGTAGTAGTGTCGATTCTAGCACAGGAATTGACTCTTCTTGTTGTGAAATTGCTTACTCATTCAGTTGAGTGCAATGTATCAGTGAAGAGTGAACTAGTGTTGGGTTCAAGTCCACCTAAGTCGAGTCCAAGTCGAGTCCGAGTCTTTAACCAATCGAGTCCGAGACAAGTCAGAGTCCAATATGGGCCGAGTCGGACTCAAGTCAGAGTCCCAAACAGCCGAGTCCGAGTCCAACGAAACTCTATTATTTATTAGTATCTTAACATTTTTTAACCTTTACAACTAGAAAAACGCAATGTCCGTTTAAATGTAACAAAAGCAAATCTCTATTGCATCTTGCAATTTAGATTTTTTATTAATAATTAGTGTCCTGCTTTGCTTAGCAAACTTAAAGTCATGTAACAGAAGTTATGGCTGAATTGATTTATGTATCATGACATATTTCAGTGAAACAGGTTTTAGAATGTAAAAAATTAAAGGGCGGGACTTGACTTTATTAATCGTTAAAGTAAAGGTATAAATTCAAGAATGGGGTAAAGGAGTAAGTATCTTGGTGAATGGGACCTTAAGAGCAGAAAATGCACCTTTTATCTAAATAAAAAACAAGCTTTATATCATTTTCATGATTTTTAATGAAATATCAATTTTGAATAATCAAAATTAGTTTGTGTCTGCTTATTCTATTCATCAGTGTTTGAACCATTAAAGAAGAAACTGCATTTGAATTTCTGGGTAAAAAAAAAAAAAACGAAAAATGAATGGACGCCAAAGTACACAGACCCCTTAGACAGGGGATTTAGAATTTTTTTCTTGGATGAAAATGAGGCTGTGAGGGATAAACCTAGTCTGTACAATGGCACACACTACACAGAAACCAGTCGGCTTTTTTCAAGTACTGGACAAGACTTAAAAACACTATCACTATCGTGATAATGCATTGAGTCAGTGACATTTCCGTCAATTGTCCCTGGACTCGGTTGGACTCTGACATATTTTCAGAGTCCGAAAGGCTCGAGTCCGAGTAAAAATGCATCCGAGTCCGTGACAAGTCCGAGTCCTTTAAAAAACTGTACTCGAGACCGGGCTTGAGTCCGAGTACGAGTCAGAGTACCCCAACTCTAGAGTGAACCAAAATGAAGCCAATTCAGACACTGACTTATTACACCTGGTATCAGAGAGTTTGCACATAAACAACTTCGTCACAGACTTTTATCTTGTTTAGAAAAAAAAAACAGTCATAACTTTACATTACATTGAAATTATAGGCTACATACCTCCTCTTGTAGTTTCATCCATGTTATATTAGGACATAATCATTAAACTAGTCATAGTAAAAACAAATTAATGAATTTATAAAAAAAACTGCAAAACAGAAAAAAAACAGATTAGTAAGTACATCATTGTATTGTCACGCCCCTGGACTGTCTGTGTGTGTTTCTCTCCCCATGTGCTCTCCGTGACCTAGTTTTCCCTCTTGTTAATCATGTCATTTAGTTCAGGTGTGTCTTGTTATTGTCCTCGTTTCCCCGTGCTTTTAAGTCTCAGTTTGTGTCGGGTCTCAGTACGTCATGTTCGTGTGTCACCAGCCATTCCTTGTGTGGATTTCCCCTGTTTTCTGGATTGCATTAAAGCCTGTTCCTTGATCCACGTCTCTGCATCGTTCCTTCCGACACACTTCCTGACAGAAGACCCGACCGACAAAAGAGGTATATTGTGTGTTCCCCTCCGTTTGTTTTCCGTGTTTTGTACAGTGTTTTGTTTTTTTTCCCCTATGGATCCCCTCGCTGCTAAATCCACACCCTAGCCCGTGAGGACCTTCCCATCTTGGAGTATGCGGTTGAGTTCAACCAGCTCGCCGCACGGAGCGACAGAGCTGAGGATCGCCACGGAGCTGGAGCTGCTAGTGACGTCAGACCAGGTGCGAGAGCCAGCTACAACGCCCGCCACGAGGGAAAAAGCCATGGACAGCGTGGAGAGGAGCTCCGCCCACTGCACCATGGTTGTGTATCTGGGACTGCTGGATTTTGAAGGGGACCTAATAGACTGGGAGGCAGTTATATATGCGGACATGCCCATTCTCCTCCCACCTTTCTCTGACTTTCCAGTCTGCCAACCCTGTCGTTCCCCTGTCTGATGAGCTTCCAGTGCTGGGAGTCGCGATTTGGTGTGTGTGGGAAGCGCACACCAGCCCTGAGAGCCCGGAGGCTCAGAAATGTTTACAAGTTTACAAAAGCAGAAAAGAGCCTAGATAAAAGTTATCGTATTGCTGCATATTATCACATTACCTGACAAATAAATAAATAAATAACGCAATTATTTTAGCTTAGGCTTGCCTAGCAGATACATGATACATGACCTAGTAAAAATTATTAATTAATTAATAATAATTAATTCTGAAATTAGGTTAAGATAACTACTCAAGTGTGCTCAAAATGCTCAAATGGCTTCGCTAGTCCCTCCCAGTACCATGACTAGAACCGCCATTGCCTGAAATGAGCATTGGTGTGTGATTGTAGTTACAAGATTACCCCACAAGAAGAGGGAATATGGAAAAGAAGAAGCTCAATATGTTTTTTTTTTTGCTAGTTTTACTGTAAATATAGAAAAGCATTAACAACTATTTATTTATTTAGTTAGTTAGTAGTTAATTAAAAATAACTTCTCTGCTCACCCTCAGCCCATCTGTTCGGTGCGAGCACCGCGGGTCTGCTAGTCTCCATCGTCGGCGTGGCTGGAGAATCCCTTGCCTCTGAGTCCCAGACTCCGCCTCGGCCCGTCGACCACAGCAGCTCCCCCATGGCTCCTAGCTCCCTCCTCTCCGCCGTGGCCCGGCAGTCCACTGGCTACGCAGGGCTCCCTCGTCCCTCCGGCTCCGCCTTGGTCTGTCGTCGACCATCCGTCGCCTTGGGACTCCACTCCTCTGGCTGCGCCTCGGCCCTCTGTCCCTCCGGCTCTGTCAGGCTCCTCCTTCCCTTCGGCTCCACCTCAGTCCTCTGTCGCACCGGCTCCACCGCAGCCTTCCGGATTTCCGCCTCAGTCGCCTTAGCCATCTGCTCTGCCTCTGCTCTACTATTTTTAAGCTCATTCTTTGCTCTTGTTTTGTTAAACCAGAATCCCAAATGAGGACCCATCTGGGCAGTCTGTCATCCTGTCCTCGGCTGAATTCAGGCGAATCATGGTGGAATCTCATGTTCCTAGTGAAGAGGAGAAGGCAGCCGTGCTGGAGGCCCAACTCCAAGCCCGTGAGGAAGCCATGGTGAGCCATCTCAAAATCTCTCTCTTTTTTTTCTAATTACATGTTTGAACCCCAAATGAATGCATGGTCACTTCTGCATTTAATATCAGTGTAACTTCTAGTGTAGTGCAGTATTTAAAAATTAAGCACAAAATTAGCTCTTGAGGAAGTCTCCCACTACAGGACAAAGCAATATTGATATGATCCACCTTTACACTAAATGTATTTAACACTTCTGAAAATGTAATGTATTACATTAATGTAATATACTACAATGTTATGTTTACTACAGTTTTTTTTACATTTATCAGCCACCACATTAAAACCACTGACAGGTAAAGTGATTAACATTGATTATATTGTATTGTTTCAATGGAATCTGTCAAGGGGTGAGATATATAGGCAGCAAATCAACATTCAGTTCTAGAATTGTATGTGATAGGAACAGGGAAAATGGGCAAGCAAAATGATCTGAGGGACTTTGACAAGGGCCACATAAGGATGGCTAGATGACTGAGTCAGAGCATCTACAAAACGGCAAGTCTTGTAGGGTGTTTCCAGTGTGCATTGGTTTGTACTGACAGGTAAAGTGATTAACATTGATTATATTGTATTGTTTCAATGGAATCTGTCAAGGGGTGAGATATATATAGGCAGCAAATCAACATTCAGTTCTAGAATTGTATGTGATAGGAACAGGGAAAATGGGCAAGCAAAATGATCTGAGGGACTAGCATGTCTGCACCAATCAAACAAAACAGCTACTCTAGCTCCAATTTCTGAAAAGCTTAATGCTGGCCATGACAGAAGACACAGTGCATTACAGTTTGCTGTGTATGGGGCTGCGTAGCTGCCCATGATGACCCAAGTCCACCTCCAAAGGAACATGATAAAAGAGATCAAGGTCTTGCCTTGGGCTCTAAATTCCCCAGATCTCAATTTGATCTATGGGATTTACTGGACCAACAAATCCAATCCATGGTGTCCACACCTCTTAATTTGCAGGGTAGGGTGTTTCCAGTGTGCATTGGTTTGTACCTACTAAATATGGTGCAAGGAAGGACAACCGTCAGGGTCATAGATGCTCACAGCACATAAATGCATGTGGGAAGTGAAGACTAGCACGTCTGCACCAATCAAACAAAACAGCTACTCTAGCTCCAATTTCTGAAAAGCTTAATGCTGGCCATGACAGAAGACACAGTGCATTACAGTTTGCTGTGTATGGGGCTGCGTAGCTGCCCATGATGACCCAAGTCCACCTCCAAAGGAACATGATAAAAGAGATCAAGGTCTTGCCTTGGGCTCTAAATTCCCCAGATCTCAATTTGATCTATGGGATTTACTGGACCAACAAATCCAATCCATGGTGTCCACACCTCTTAATTTGCAGGATTTAAAGGACCTGCTGCTAATGTCCTTTTACCAAATACCACAGGACACATTTGGATGGTTTTGTGGAGTCCATGCCTCGACACATCAGAGCTAATTTGGCAGCATGAGGGAGACCTACACGATATTGGGCAGGTGGTTTTAATGTTGTGGCTAATCAGTATTCATAATATGCTATATTATGATACAAGTAGTTGTGTTCAACAGTTATTAGAAATATGACAGAGTTTGCTACTACCACAGTTTGCTATATGGGAGAATACAACAGAAGCTCACGGAACACTGAGGTTTCATCAGAAATATGTAGCCAGTCAACTTGCATAAAGTCCTTTGTTCAGACCGGTCTTGTAGATAATTTCGACCTGAGGTGTACAGTCTATTTTGGGTCTTTATTGCAGTTTATTTTAATCCCTTTTAACTATTTCAACAAGTAAGTGGTACATTTTCAAAACTCCAAACGGATCACATTTAAAACCGCTAGTCATTCTTTAAAAATCTGATCTCATGCTTTGGGATTGTATGTTATTTCTTTCCATATAATCATTGTTTATAGCTTACACACAACGCAAGAAAGCTTGATTTGAAAAACTTTTAAGTAATCATTCAGTAACAAACATTCAGTAATTACATACTAAATAGAACAAATAAACAAATTACAAAAAAATAGCACAAATAAATACAACAGAATAAATGATACAAGTGAAATAATGCTTTTTAGGTAGGTCTAACAATATTCAGGAACAGAAATTTAATAATGTAATCAAATGTAAAACAACACTGGATAGTGTTTATTCTATAAACAAATACAGATTAATCCTTAAAATTAAAGTCACCAAGGTTACTCGTTCAAAAGCAGTGATTTGTCTTATGCTGTTTAATTAACATGGACAGCAGCAGGCTGTTGTCACTTTAAGAACAAATGCATGGATCCAGTATACTGTTATACATAAGTTATCTTTCAAAACAACTGTTAAGACATAATCAACTATTTAAGTGAATACTCACCAAGATGGGCGTTTTGACATAATTGTGCATGTTTTTGACCATTTATGTGCAATAAACCAATTTGGAGCCCGTGAGGACCTTCCCATCTTGGAGTATGCGGTTGAGTTCAACCAGCTCGCCGCACGGAGCGACAGAGCTGAGGATCGCCACGGAGCTGGAGCTGCTAGTGACGTCAGACCAGGTGCGAGAGCCAGCTACAACGCCCGCCACGAGGGAAAAAGCCGTGTCCTTGTCAGACAAGTGACTCTGTGTGTGCACACTTTGGGTGTGAGAGCACAGAAATCAGCTTGAGTCATGATTAGAGTTCTCTTGAAAAGACACCGTTTGTGAAATTACAGTCTCTCAGCATTTCCAAAATAGTACTTTAAGAACAAATGCATGGATCCAGTATACTGTTATACATAAGTTATCTTTCAAAACAACTGTTAAGACATAATCAACTATTTAAGTGAATACTCACCAAGATGGGCGTTTTGACATAATTGTGCATGTTTTTGACCATTTATGTGCAATTGCAATAAACCAATTTGTGGTCACAAGTGACTCTGTGTGTGCACACTTTGGGTGTGAGCGCACAGAAATCAGCTTGAGTCATGATTAGAGTTCTCTTGAAAAGACACCGTTTGTGAAATTACAGTCTCTCAGAACATTTCCAAAATACTGATTTCATCTGATAATTTGTGTGGATTACTGTACTCATTCGACCTACTGTACATGCTTTTGTGAATAAATGTTTGCAGGAATTTCCTGCATTATAAGTGTATAAGTGATGAACCTGCGGGAATTAGTAAAATTATGCACAATAGCTGCAATCAGACGACATGGGAGCGATCCAAATCCAATATTGTGCATTATGGTTGTTACTGTAAAGCTCCAAAAAGGACAAAAAACTATTATAAAAGCACCATGAACATTTTCCTGCACTGTATTATAGGTCTTCTGAAAACATTCAACAGCTTTGTTAGAGGATATTAAGCTTTTAAATTTATGTTGACTGAAAATCTTCCCAATGCTGCAGCTGTCATTCTCCATTGCAGCATTCAAACAGTGTGTCCCATTCAGTTAGGACAGTGAGCACAGTAAAACTCTCTCCGAGATGTTTCAGTGTTCTCATTATGAAGCATAATCTGAACATAAAGGTTTTGTTTGAAAGAACTGTTATCTGTAGTCCCATTAAAAAAGAGTGCATGATGCATTCCAAAGAAACACTGTTTATATTGTGTTTGTATTTATGTAGTAATAGCTACTGTTTCATAAATGCATTGTTCATTAGATTTTAAGAACATTGATACTCTTGCAACACAAATAGTAATTAGTAATTGCAGTTTTTTTTTTTTTTTTTTAAGAATTAATATTTTACCAGACGTCGCAGTGGCACCTACACATACATATATGTATAAAATATTTAATGTATTAACCATATTTAAGCAGTGTTAATGAGGTAGTTAATGTGGTAGATATTCTAAACTGATCAAAATAAAAACATGAAATGATATCACCTTATGTGGTGTGCGTCTGGGCTAAAAAGTTGCACTTGAACACACCAGAAAGACTACAGCCAATTACCAATTCAAATAGGGAAACCAAAACTAGGACTGCATACAAACCGTAAGCAAATGCTTGTTTGCCATTTTGAGTATCAATTATGTTGATCAGGTTATTCATTCCAGATTGATCATATCGTCATGAAAATATTTACGTATTGTAATGCTCAGGTAGATGACGTAAAATTAGAACAGCCTTTTTTTCTGTGCTGTCTTGACTTCTTTGCTTGTTTTCATCACTTTTGCTTTTATTCTTGCTCACTGACTTGTTCGCTAAACTGAACATCTAATACTCTCTCATCGACGGCACCAAAGAACACCGATTCAATATGCCTAATTGGCCAAAAAGCCCCTGATGTGGTCCAACTGTTCCGACTAGTGTCAACAATGTGGTTTTTAACAGTGGCCCGACATTGGTCGATGGCCAACCATCGACTTAGTGTGTCAGGGCCTTTAGAATTTAAAGAGAATTAAAGAAAACTTAACACATGTGGCTCAAAACAAACCAGCAAAAATTAAATGAAAGAGAACACATGAGGAACAGGTGAGAACAATTAACAGAATGAGTACTAGACAATGGCTAAATAATGGGGCGTGGCCAAGGAAATCAAGGAGGCGGGACAGTGGAGCACATGACATTACAAAGGATGCTCCTTTCAGAGGTCGCATTCGTCAGCCGTGTACGTCATCAAGGTTGTCTCATTTCAGAAAAGTAGCCATTATAAAAATAATAGTGATGTAAAGTCCGATTCATTTCTGCGAACCGGTTCTTTTCGGACAGATCGGCTCATTGAACCGGTTCAAAAAGCCGATTCATCGGTTCCTGACGTCATCAAGCAATAACGTCTCTACGCATTTCTTTTCTAACAACTCAGTGCCATGTTGTATCAATAAAAAATACAAATAAGTCATTTGTGTCAACGTATATTGAAACATTCAAAAATAAAGTTATTTGTGTGAAAGCATATTGCTGATTATTACCATATAATTCACTTAAGTTAATGGTGTTTGTGGTCACAGTTTCATTCGCGGATCCTCAGATACCACTGACTGACCAATATTGACTAGCCTACAACTTGGATAAGATTCCTAAAAGTTTCGCACCTACAGCACACATTACAGACATTGATGCACAAACGCGGATATGTTCTACATG